TTTAAAGACCCACTCCTCTTTCTATGAAAAATAATGCTGGAACATAGATGGAGAGTGCATTTATCTGTAGATCGCTTTTAGCAAGACAGCTGTTTTCACAATATTATTTGGTCCGATCCATGAGCATGAGGCGGCTTTTCAATCTGCTAGTGTTTTCTTCTGGGTTTTATACTTTACATTTAGAGTTTTTTTTTTTTTCCACTGTTTTAGTTAGCTTTACTCCAAGATTTCTTAATTTTTTTTTATTGTGAGTGGGATTATTTCTTTCTTAGTATGTTTGTCATTTGTATGTAAGAAAGTTCCTGATTTTTCTGTGTTGATAGCATACCATGTCACTGTGCCGAGAGTGTTTATAAGCTCTTACATATAAAATTAATATCTACAGATAGGGATGCTCAACTAACTTAGTTGGGAGAGTGATTTTAGCTATTTTTTTAAAAAATGGGATATTTTAAATTAGTTTCAGTCTTATTTGTTGTAAATATGTATAGAGCAGAAGCAGAAAAAATCCCTAACATTATAAAGTGGATTAAATATTATGATGCAAGCATTTGAATAAAATTCTTTGAATGAGAAATACAAAGAATGATAATTGACTGGAAAGTATGATGAAATGTGAGAATCCATTGAATTAAAGAAGAACAGAGAGGAAAAAGAGAATCATATGAGGAAGCACAGTAACAGGAATTTTCATAGTTCTTACAAAGGATGCGAAGAGAGCCAGCGCTAGGAAACCGTGGCGCCGGGGGTGTGATTGAGGAGAAAGTGGGTAAAGGTTCTCTTAAGCCTATGTCAGATGAGCCGACATTTGAAATGCTCACAAGTCTCAAAGTTTTAATGCTGACATGATACTGCACCAAAACATCCACCCCTGACCTTACATGGTTCGTGACTGTCGAATTGTGCACAGCTAATCAAACTGTTGTTTAAAATTACTTCAGGCTCCGAGTATAAGGTAAAGTCAGCGAATTTGTATTTATTAGACATTGGTTGCATTATGTGTATGAAAATACTTTTTAAAAATACACAAAATAAAGCACTTGTGATGCCAGGCATTTAGGACAAAACACACTCAGCTAGTACTTGAAGTCCTTCTGAAAAAAAAAAAGTGTGACTTTAAATATTTCAAAAGTAACACTTAATAGACAAGCCGTGAGGGACTTAACAGCTTCCAGATCCACCAGAGACCTGCTCCCCAGAAGACATTGAGAAAATATTGATCTACTCATTACTTGGTCTCCTCACAAGGCCTTGGAAATAGTCCCAAGGGTCCCCAGCAAAAGCAGAACATTTCTTATCCTGAGATTTTCCTTCCCATGTCCTCTCAAAGATGCCACTTCAGACCAGGACGGCCGCGAGCACAAGGTTCCATACATTCTCACACTTCAAATTCCAGTTTCTTTGAAACTTGGGTTACGGTGTCCACCATGCCCAGCTGATAACTTTGAATTTATGGCTTAAGCGCAAACCAGCCAAGCCTGCTAAAACAGTATATTGGACATCAAACAAGATTTGGCTCCATGTGGTGGGGAACAGAAAGGAAAACCACAAGACAAGAAAGAGTAGTGCAGTGCACTCTTTCTGCACTCCATTCCTTAACTAGGATGTCCTGTGGATGTGCTCTGAACTGATCCTCAGGCAGGCGGCCTCGCTGCAGGTGAGGCGTGTGCCAGCAGCAACAAGCATAATTTCCATCCTTAGGTCTGCTGAAAATCAGAGAGTCCCCTTCCCCAAATTTGTAATTATATTAAAAAATTATAAGGTGTGCTTTTGTGGTAGTGATTTTAAGAGAGAGCGTGAAGGAATTATTTGGATGAACCTTAAGGCCTTGCATTTATTGGTGAGACATAATGCAATGACAACTTTGCAATAATAGTAAAAAGATGCAAGATGGACTCTGTACCTGACAGTTGTTTGCTAACCAGAATTTCGGTAGATAATTTGACCAATGTTTTCAATTATCCTTTTTCTTGTTACTAGAGTATGTGTAAACTGTCATCACATTTTTAGTGCTGGGATAGATTAGCTGTTATATTTATTATAAGCCTGTGTCATTTTTGTAAAAAAAAAAGATTGGCACTGCCATCTTTTTGTTTCTTATAAATCTTAATAGAAAATATTTTTTGTATGTTTAAAATCAGATATTTCATCTGGATGGTAGTGGTGCACAACGTTAGTCCTAGCATTGGGAGGCACAGGCAGGAGGATCTCTGAGCTCAAGGCCAGTCTGGACTACAGAGTGAGTTCCAGGACAGCCAGGGCTGCACAGAGAAACCCTGTCTAAAAACAAAACAAAACAAATAAAAACCCCACAAAACATTGGTGATGGAGAGATGGCTCCGTGGTTAAGAGCACTGGCTGCTCTTTCAGAGGTTCTGAGTTCAGTTGTCACTAGCCTGCATGGCAGCTCACAACTGTCTAACTCCAGAGGGATCTGATGCCCTCACACAGACAAAACACCAGTGCTCATAAGATAAAATTAAAGAAATTAAAAAAATCTTTTAAAAAATGTTGTTACTTGGTAACTCTTTAACTCTTGAAATTAATATAGTTCATATGACTTCTAAGTAAAATATTTAGGCTTTGATATTAGATGGAAAGTAGTTCTTAAAAACATATTTTACTTGTATATTTTTAATCAAACAGAATTTTGCATCAACAAATAAATGTTCTGAAATAAGAACGTTTATATGGAATAATTTTCGGTCTCTTGGCAATAGAAAGATGGTAAGGGCGTCCCCATTTCCCCGGTCTCCCGTGGTGCTAGTCCTTTTCCGAGCAGCAGGCATTCAAGGGAAAGTGAGAGGGCGCTGTGGTCTTCTGTCCTACCTCCCTCTGGGGAACCACCTTTCCTTTAGTCATTCTCGCTCCACTTCGTGTCATCATGCACTTGCTTTCCGTGGTGCTTCTGCGCAGGACCCTCATTTTGAGTTTTACCATGTTTCTGCATTAGATGGTGGTCAAGCATCTGGGGAGTAAATACCAGAGGTGAAGTGCCAGTCTCCTATCAGAGAGGTTCCTGGTGGCAGGTGCTCTGTCGTTGGTGACATTTATATTAATCACTTGAGTGATAAGGGGTGGTGTCAGCCAGGTTTTCCTACTGCCATGGTGCTATATTCATTATACTAGATTCTGTATATTCACCAATAACTATGTTAAATTCATCAGTGACAATCCACGCTCATCATATTTGTTTATTTGATTTTATTGTCTAGGTGCTATCATTATTTTATTATTGAAAGCTTTTTAGCTTTGGATGTTGGAAATTGATATACCCTTCTTGTTTCTTCTTCTTGCTTATGTTCTGGTGTTCTAAAACTCCCCCTACCCCCCTTCTCTGACACAGTATAGACCAGGCTGGCCTCAAACTCAGAGAGATCCATTTGCTTCCTGAGTGCTGCAGTTAAAGCCGTGCACCACCCTGCCTGGCTCTACATCCTTTTGCATATGCTCTCTGTATGAGCTGTTTTCTTGCCTTTCCCAGTATTTAGATACACACATTCCTTGGCTGGTAGCCCCTTCTTTGATCTTCAAAGACAGCAGTGGCAAGTTGAGTCTTTACCCTTCCATTTTGATACTGAAGCCCCCTTCTCCACCCCAACCTCTTCTACTTTTAAGGGCTTTTATTATTACTTTTGGCTTACTAAATTAATCTAGGTTAATTTTCCAGTGTTAACCTTAGCTATGTAGCAACCTCTGCTGCCTGTTGTCTGTAATGTGACATATGCAGCAGTTCAAGAGTTGGTACGTTGAGGGATTTGTCGTGGTTCTGCTAGTTGCTAGCATAGTCTGGGTCGTGGAGAGCTAGTGATATACTTAGCTTGAGAATTTGATAAAGGTGTAAATAGATGAGAAAGTATCTAGAAAATGATCAATGGCAATCTAAAGGATGAAAGGACTATTGACCTATGTTAGAATGAAACTAAGTTTACCACAAATGAAAAGCCTCATCTTGCCAACGTATGCCATCAGTGAATGTTTATTTCCTCAATTTCAAACAAGGGTGCATAGAGTCTGCCAAGAGATGGGTTATTTCTAGGGTAATCTCTACTCTTGTCGAAGACAATGGGATAAGCCATAAGCCATGCATGCTTTTTTTCTTTTCTTTTCTTTTTTTCTTTTGGTTTGTTTTCCTTCTCAATTTTGTGGTTTTTCAAGTTTGGAATTGTGTTTTAAAATGTTTGCTTTAGAAGATCATTTGCTTGCTTGCTTGTGTTTTATGTCTTGCCTTTTCTTTGAGAACAAGCATCTGTGAAGCCTAATACCACAGCATACTGCAACAGGATTCTTGAAGGAAAAGGTCATAAATTAATGGTCTGCCTCCACTCAAGAAAATTTGAAAAGCCAGAGGCTTTTTGGAAATTGATCCCCTCAGAGAACATTACACATTTGTTACATGAGGAATTCCAGGAAGATGGCTCTTGCCTTTGTCTCTATGACACTAGTGTCTTGACTGAGGTTGCCATTCTGGGAACTGTGACTGCTTGTTAACTAGTTTCTGGATTTATTGCTATGGCTACTGTTACATACAGGTGCCCACCCAGTCACTACTGTTTCTTGGGATCCTTGTGGTAGTGTTTTCACTCACCGTATGTATCTGCTCATATTATTTATTCTCAGTTAATTAGAGGCCTTTGGATAGCATTTCTTGGTTTCTTTCTTCAGAATTGAAAATACCATGGAAGGGAACAGTTGTCTAGCTACTTTGGTTTCTGGTGTCTTGTTCATAGTGCTACAGAAGATATCATATTGCATTAGCAGATATACAGACATTGATGATATTGCCTAAGCTATCACCATGGTTCAGTTCTGTAATAGATGAGTAACACAGATGTTTTTATGATTCCTTAATTGTCTGCCATCTGTACTAAAATGAGTGAAAGAATAAAGTAATGGCACACACGTTTACTTTTTTTTTTTTTTTTAAGGAAGAAAGTGAATGCTCGAAGTTAGCAATACATTCAGTTGAGCCAGGAGGTGGTGCACGCCTTTAATCCTAGCACTTGAGAGACAGAAGCAGGTGGGTTTTTAAGGTCCTACAGAGGAAGCTCCAGGACATCCAGGGATACACAGGAAAGGGAAAAACAGAACAAAACCACATTCAATTCAATAGTTTCTTCTAGCAAAGGAATGTCAGGAAGAACAAAGTGAAATTATAGATTATGGTCCGTGGGAAGGACAGAGTGCCTAGGGGTTTCTCACTTGTCCTTGAGGGTGATTGGTGCTGATGCTGTGTAGGTGGAAGGGAAGATGGCAAAGGCCCCAGAGAAGGACTGAAGTCTCTTGGAGGAGAGGAGAGAGGTTGGGTGATGCAGCTGTTTTTTCTTTTTCTTACATTTATTTATATGTGTGTGTAAATGTGGATGCCATTGTTGAGGCAGTCAAGTCTCTCCTAACACGTGAGGTCTGGGGTTGAACTCAGAACACCAGGATCTAGTTTCTGAGCTGTCTTTCCAGCCCTAGAACATTCTCTACAAATGTGAACATGGTATAATTAAGCATTCGTAGAAACTGTACAGCTTTAAGGAGGAGAATGGTTTATACAGTTGGACTTGTAATGAGTAATAATTCTCTGAGCCTATACATTATACATAATATATGTAGAGAAATTCAAGTATATATTGGAGGCAAGCTGCTTAGAATATACATTGTAGTATTTTTATAAAGGTTTATTAATATTTTTTAAGTTATGTGTGTTTGTCCCTGTGTGTAGGTATGTACTCATGAGTATAGGTGCCTGTGGATACCTAGAGGTGTCAGATCTCTTGGAGCTTGAGGTATAAGTGGTTGCGAATTACCCAACATGGGTGCTGAGAACCACCACGAGCCTTTTCTCCAGCCCCTTCACACTGATTTAAAACATTTGATGCCTGCAAAGTAGGGATAGATAGCATGCTGGGAGACAGAGGTATAATGGTCAGATGGTTGTGAGTTTAAGGCCAGCCTAGGCTACAAAGTGAGTTTGAGGCTAGCTCAGGCTTAGACTACATAGTAGGAAGCATTTCAGAAAGCCTCATCCATGCAGTAGATAGTAACTGTTACCTGATTCATTGCTGTCTTAAGAACTAATGAAATAAAATGCTCAGACTAATACCAAGCATGTTGTTAGCCATTCACCAAACATTATTTTTATAATTACACTATTTTTTCATCAAATAGCCTGTATAGAAAAGAATCATTGGCAAATATTAAAAACAAAAATATGACTGTTGAAATAAGCTCAGTTATTGGGACAAAAGAGAAAAATCATAAAATCTGGGGAGTGATTGGTAGGGTATTTCATGGATGAGCTTGAGTTTGGCTTCTTCCTGGATGCTAGCCACACTGGCCGCACTGAGGGATAGAGGACTGTGGGAAATGCTCTGAAATGTTGAGGAAATAGTGATTTGGAACCTCAAATTCTATTTTTAGCCAAACCAGCTTCCAAAGTTAAGAACCAAAAATACATTTCAGGAATGTGAGGACAGAAACAATTTTCAAAAGGAAGGACTAACAGAAGGGCACAAGCAAAGAGGTCAGCAAGCTTGGGGTCAAATCAAAATATTAACAACATTTCTGTCATGTTGAGGAATGTGATAGAGAAGTAAACAGTATTTGGAGCAGCCGAGTGATCCATATAAATTCAGTGAGAAGGGTGATGGTAAGAGGCATACAGTTTGGGCATCATTTTACTTTTTAATAATTAAACTTAAATTTAAACCGAAGTCTTCCTGTTTACACAGTGATAGAATTAAAATTAAGAGCTGTTTTGGTTGGTGGAACTTAATAATTGAACTCAGTGTTGATGGAGCTGTGTGGTTCAACAGACTTACCAAATAAAGAAGGGTAAAAAAAGCAAAGGAATGAAATGGAATGTTCTGCTTCCAAGCCAGTCAAGCTGAGGTCAGCATACTGTCTGCCAAAGGGTAGGAAGTCCATGTTTCATTTTATGGGCAGTGCTGTCCCTGTGGCAGCCATACTGTCCCGGTGGCACCTAATGCTCCCTGACATTGTTAGACCACAGTAGCTATAGATGGTATACATGATCAGATGGGAGGGCTGAGTGCTAGGAAAGCCTGGATTGTAGAGAACAAGGGAAGGGGCAAAAAATCCTTAATTTCAACTGAAGACAGGGAAAAATGGGAGAAGGGGAACACTAAGAAGTATAACAGGAAAGGATAAAAAAAAATTAGGAAATCTTACCCCTAAATGTCTAGTAGAGATAAGAGATTCTCAGATTGGTCTTAACCTAAATTATAAGGGAGTAGGGGATAGGTAAACCATGGCATATCTGTATTTCAGAACAGCACTATGTGTTTGCAAGGTATTACCCATCATCCCTACTGCTGAGATGAGTGTTGTGGTTATTGTGATAGAGTCAGAGAGGAGGATTCTCAGTGGCATCACGGAGATGAACCTGTACACGGGCTGGCAAGACTGAGGACCAAAGTGCTTTGTTAGGAATCAGAAAGAACTCTGTGTTTGGCTCAGTAGCAAGAACTTTTGGCCTTTACTACACATGCTGTCTTTATTGCCTAACTGCCTTTGCTTCACAGTTTACTTTCCAATGCTCCTAGGTAAAATTATAAGACAGAAGGGACATTTGGTTGGCCTAGAGAGTTAGTAGCCCAAGCTTTTCATGCCTTGTGAGCTTCTTCAGAGACTGCATAGGCTGTCCTGAGTCAGGCATCTCCCACAAAAGCTCAAGAGGTTGTGGCCAGGAAAGAATGGTCAGGGAAGGCTGGTGGCGAAGGCTGGGTAGGCATCTGAAGCACAGGTGGGTTTACCAAGACTGCCTTTTCAGCAGTAAAGTGGGTCTACCTCTGAGATAGCTAGTGTGACCACATACACGCTCAAGGGATGTGCTTAGTAACATTCTAGAGTTTCCCTTTTCGTTTAAGTAAAACAGTAGTACCTTAAGATTATAATGGCAAGCTGTGACTTAAACGAGATTTTTTTTAAAACATTCATTTATTTATTTATTTATTATGTATACAATATTCTGTCTGTGTGTTTGCCTGCAGGCCGGAAGAGGGCACCAGACCCTATTACAGATGGTTGTTAGCCACCATGTGGTTGCTGGGAATTGAACTCAGGACCTTTGGAAGAGCAGGCAATGCTCTTAACCTCTGAGCCATCTCTCCAGCCCCTTAAACGAGATTTTTAAGAATTTTATAAACCCTAGGATAACCAAACTCTATAAAAAATACTGTGGCTTAGTTGTTTAATTCAAGATGAGTGGTAAATTTATAATGTTATAGAATGCTTATGATAGTAAATATAGTAAAAAATTTGAGGACTTGAAAGTTATATTTAGTAGAATGTGAATATTGTTCTTGAAGTTCATGCAAAATGCTTTTTTTTTTTTTTTTTTTTTAAGGCTGGGCCATGCAAGCTGCTGCCTTTATCTTCATTCATAGGAAGTGGAAGGATGATAAGAGCCATTTTGAAGACATGATTGATTATTTTTGTGACATCCATGAACCACTCCAACTTCTCATCTTTCCAGAAGGAACTGACCTCACAGGTGAGGCATCTAGGGTTTGGATCACAGAATTTAAAACCTTATAAACCACTAGTTAAATCTTTTAATCCTAACATGAGATATGTGACTATCAACAAAATTAATGGATGACCCCAAGGTTACTCAATTAATGGTACCCAAACCAGACCCGGTGGTACAATCCTAAAGGTCCAGCTACTCATGAGACTGATGCAGGCAGATCACAAGTTTAAACCAGCCAGAGCAACTCAGTGGTCAGTGCCTCAACATAAACAGTAAGGTGATGGCCGTGAGTTATGCTCAGTGGTAGAGCATATACCAGACTGGTAGGCTGGTCCAGTTCTGGTACTGTGGGTGAAGGAAGACCAAAGAGAAAGGACATTTGTAAAATAGAGTTTTATGCTGGGTGGTAGTGGCACACACCTTTAGCCCCAGCTTTCAAGAGGGGGAGATAGGTGGATCTCTGAGTTCAAGGCCAACCTCACTCAGGCCAGGCAAGTGCTCCACTACTACAGAGCTATATACCCAACTCCACATGATTATTTCTGTAAGTTAAAATGATACTTACATATACTTACATTGTAGGGCCAGCTTGCAAAAGCCATGTTTGTTGTATAGAGAAAGTAGACTGGTCAGGGAGCTTTAAAGTATTTTTATAAAACTAACATCTACAGATGATTTTTATTGAGTTGGGGAAACTTTTCCCTCCCTCCCCCTCTCTCCCTCCTTCCTTCCTCCCTTTCTTTTTAATGGGCTAACAAAAGTATTTCAATCATTTAATTTAAAATTATTTTTTAATTATTAGAGTTATCTTTAAATTTGGATTTTTATTTTTTTTAATATTTATTTTTTATGATTTTTATTATTTATTTTTTTGCCACGAGGTGTTTTATTTTCATCAATCATACAAATAATTTTCTATAATATCCCAGGGCAAACCGGTGAAATTTGGCAGTCCGATTAGTAGGGGGGTCCCCCTTCAGAGACCCGCGGGCGGTGGCATCGGCGCGGAGTGCCCGGGTTCACGGTGCAGCTTGTGGCTCGCGTCCATCTTGCAAGTGGCTCTTTCTCCACATCACGAGGGGGTGGGGTGGGGTGGGGGAATCCTCCAGTCTGGGCTTTTAGGAAATTTCACTCCTCCTTTCCTGTTCAATGGTCTCTTTGGTCGCAGGGTGTTCTTCTCCTGTGTCTTGGTCTTCTTCAGCTTGGCCTTATCGAAGCTGGCGATTTCCCCCATGTCTGGCTTGTCTGCCATTTTCTTACAACCCGTGGAGTCTCCTTCCGAGCTCGCGCTCCAGGTGCTCCCACTCGCCTTGCTGCAGCAAGAGACCATTCATTCATTCATTCGTTTATTAAAGATTTCTGCCTCCTCCCTGCCACCGCCTCCCAATTCCCTCCCCCTCCCCCAGTCAAGTCCCCCTCCCTCGTCAGCCCTAAGAGCAATCAAGGTTCCCTGCCCTGTGGGAAGTCCAAGGAACAACCACCTCCATCCAGGTCTAGTAAGGTGAGCATCCAAACTGCCTAGGCTCCCACAAAGCCAGTACGTGCAGTAGGATCAAAACCCATTGCCATTGTTCTTGACTTCTCAGCAGTCCTCATTGTCCACTATGTTTGGCGAGTCCGGTTTTATCCCATGATTTTTTAGACCCAGGCCAGCTGGCCTTGGTGAGTTCCCGATAGAACATCCCCATTGTCTCAGTGTGTGGGTGCACCCCTCGTGGTCCTGGGTTCCTTGCTCGTGCTCTCTCTCCTTCTGCTCCTGATTTGGACCTTGAGATTTCAGTCCGGTGCTCCAATGTGGGTCTCTGTCTCTGTCACCTTTCATCACCTGATGAAGGTTAATATCCAGGAGGATGACTATATGTTTTTCTTTGGGTTCACCTTATTTAGCTTCTCTAGGATCACGAATTATAGGCTCAATGTCCTTTATTTATGGCTAGAAAGCAATTATGAGTGAGTACATCCCATGTTCCTCTTTTTGGGACTGGTTTACCTCACTCAGGATAGTGTTTTCTATTTTCGTCCATTTGCATGCAAAATTCAAGAAGTCCTTGTTTTTTACTGCTGAGTAGTACTCTAATATGTATATATTCCATACTTTCTTCATCCATTCTTCCATTGAAGGGCATCTAGGTTGTTTCCAGGTTCTGGCTATTACAAACAATGCTGCTATGAACATAGTTGAGCATATACTTTTGTTGTATGATAGGGCATCTCATTGGTATATTTCCAAGAGTGGTATTGCTGGGTCCAGGGGTAGGTTGATCCCAAATTTCCTGAGAAACCGCCACACTGCTTTCCAAAGTGGTTGCACAAGTTTGCATTCCCACCAGCAATGGATGAGTGTACCCCTTACAAATTTGGATTTTTTTAAAACCCTATTACAACATTTATATTTCACTTTAAATTCTGAAACTAGGTTGCTTGCATATTTTTAGATTAGTGTGTTTCACTGTGACTTTATATACATTCTGGCTTCATATACTATAATTGGTTATAACTTTTTGTTAAGGGAACAGTATATATTGGAGAATTTAAAAACACAAAAGTATACACAAAGGTTGCTGTAATCCCACAGCCCATGGATGAACACAATTTGAAATTTTGGTCCATTTGGACTGTTATATGGTCACAGGTACACACGTGCACACACACATTCTTAGGAATATGTGTATGTGCACACTAGCTCCTATTTAACCTTAAAACTGGCAAACAGACCATGCTCTTCTTTGTCTGTTTCAGTTCTTCCTCAATATCTTTCCCATGTCTGTCCTTTGAGAAGATGGGGGGGGGTGACTTTAGGTTTATGTTGTGTGTTGGGGTCTCTAAAGAAAGTGTTTTTGTGATATGCTTGAGCAGACATTAAGGTTTGCTCTAAGGGAGTAGTTGACCTGGCCAGTGGTTGAGCTCTAGGAGGCGGAACAGATGAAGACTAAAGGTGCCTGCATCGGAAGTCACCTTCCTTGTAGGCATGTAAATTAAGGAGACCCTTGTTTCTAAGACCTTTGATTTATATGTGATCTATCACATTGTGGATTAAGTAATCTGCCTTATTATTCTACTGACTGAACTATTAATCCTGCCTGAAAAATGCCCTCGAAAAAGTCAATGTTTGTCCTGTCCTAGTTTATTTCTCTTGTTAATGACAAATAGCCTAACTAGGTGAAAGCAGCTTACAGTTGCAAGTCACAGTCTGTCACTGCCTACATGTCGGGGAGGAACTTCAAACAGCCAGTCACACTCACAGTCAGATAGGAAGAGAATAATGCATCCTTGCCTGCTTGCTGTGAGCTAGCTTTTTGTCATATTGTTCAAGAACCCCTCTCCAGAAGATGATGCCACTCAGAGTGGGTGGTAGTCCCCCTGACATCACGGATCTGGATAATTCCTCTTTAAGAGTTTCCAGGTGCATCTAGGTTGTGACAAGGTGACAGTTAGAAACTGACAGGTGCTGCTTTGCCAGGGTTACACAGAATTGACCGTCACAGTGGTAGGGTATAATTTTGAGTTCCACTTTCCTGAGTTGGAAAGGAAAACTATTTTTGGTTTAACAACATTACATACAATATGACACTCTTCTACATAGTTTCTTTAGTAAATATTCTTAGTGTCTGAAACTTTGTATGCAAAATTAATTCCCTTCCTTGGAGCGTATGTTAGATGAGGAATAACCTAGTAATATGTACAGGTGTTATAAGTTTATGTAGAAAACTAAAGCAGGGTGGGTAGATAGAAAGCAAAGGAAGGGAGCAGGGTGCTAGTCGCAAGGTGGTCAGGGCAAATCTCTATTATGTTTCTGTTTAAGTAGGGATCATATGTACAAGGTAGAAGATGCATCTGCAGCAAGAGGCTTTCTGGGTAATGGAATAACAGCTGCACAGGCCTGAGGTTGGAACATGCCCGGTTGGCTTGAGAAGATGAGAGTGGCTAGCAGTCCTGTGGGTATGGGTGGGGGCCGTGCTGGGGTGGGAAAGTTGCAGGGAGTGAGCTGACAGGAGGCTGCGGTTGGAAAATGGGATGCTAGTGCAGTTACTAATAATGATGGCCTGGGAATGGGTGGATGGAGGGAGGGGGAGAGAATATCGCCACACTAATTTGTCTGATTATTTCCAACTTCCTACAGTGTGACTGTACATTTTAAAGTTGTGTGTGTTTGTATTCATATCTGGAACAGAATTCAGTTATACCCGAGAATCCCCAGAGTCACTAACAACTGGAAAACAAACTGCTTATCTCTCTGGTGACTCTGGTACTTCTAATCCCATCTAAAGTCCATCAGTTGACTAACAGAAGTGCTGTTTTGTAGCCCTGTGCCCAGGATATTCATAGACTAGTGGAGAAGAGCTTACTGATATTCATGTCCAGTGCCTTTTCCTTTAACTGCTGGGGAAGCTGTGGGCATTTGACTCAGTGCCTCTGTGAGAACTGACACGCTTCTGTAAGAATGTCTGCCGGAGCTCGTATTGTGGAGTGCACCTGTGGTTGCTGTGGGCTGGAGAAGTCACCAGTCATAAGCTTACTCCTAGGAACATTGTATTTATGTAGATATTTTTTCTTGTACTAGTGTATAGGTTTCCAGATAGAGCTGAAGTACAGACCCTAAAGTCTGCTGTCATCAGAACTATTTCATGATCTCAAGTCAAGGCCAATTTTTGAACACTTTATTTTCCAATTGTATTTGCTGAATAATGAGTTTGGTTCTTCTTGGAATTTGTAAAATGACCTCATGGAATGGAAAAAAAAGTTATTGCCAACAATTGGAATATATACTTGTCTCTGTAACTATATTCAGCCAAACCATGTTCAGATGTTTGTACATGATGTGCTAATCATGTGCTGTTTTGTTGTGCAGTGGTTTTGGTTAGCAATATTAGTCACTCTGCTTGAGCAAGGCAGATATTTCACTTTACTTTGAAAGCCTAAATTACTGGGTTAAAGAAAACGTTGATCTGATATATTTGATTGCTGGTTATTTCTTCTGGACGTCTAAATCTTTTGTTAATTTTCAGTTTTAGTAGCATTTTTATGTTATATTTGAACTTTTATTATTTAAGAATTTTATTATTATCAGTGGTGCTGGGGATTGAACCTAGCATGATAGTAGACAAGTACTCTATCACTGAAATACATCTTCATCTCACATGTTTATCTTTAATGAAAATTTTAGCTTATTAATGTTATAGTTTTTAATATCTCAATTTTTATTACATATTAGCTTTTGTGACGCCTTCTAATGATTTTAAACTTTGGGATATAAATGTAAGAGAACTTATTAAGGTTCTGTTCATAACATATGTTCACATATATCCACACATATACCAGTAGATTGAAATCTTTGTAAAGGATTATTGCAAATGTTTGTATTTTGGGGCTGGAGAAATGGATCAGTGGTTAAGAGCATTTGATACTCTTGTAGAGGACCTTGTTTGGTTTCTGGCACCCACATGGCTGCTCAAATCCTTCTGTAACTCCAGTTCTTGGGACTCTGGTGTCCTCTTCTGGCCTTCTTGGGCATTGCACATGTTGGCAACATATAGTCAGGCAAAGCACTCATAAACATATTCAAAATGTCTGCATCATCTTTGTATGCTGTCTGTAACAATGTAATATATTAGTGTCCTTTGGGGGGAAGGCACATTCTCACTATTAGTCCTGGCTGGCCTGTAATGTACTATGTAGACTAAGCTGGTCTTAAACTCTGATCTGCCTGCCTCTGCCTTCTGAACCCCGGGATTGAAGGTTTGCTTACGATGCCTGGTCATAAGTGCTATTTTTATCCAAGAAATTCTTCATATTTTTCCGTACCTAACTATCTTCCTTAATATTATTACTTTTATTTTGTCTATTATTTTGTTTAGAAAATAACAAGACTCGGAGTAATGATTTTGCTGAGAAGAATGGACTTCAAAAATATGAATATGTCTTACATCCAAGAACTACTGGCTTTACTTTTGTGGTGGACCGTCTAAGGGAAGGTTAGTGCTGCTCTTAAAATGTGTTCTAAACCCAATGTGGCACATTCTTTTGAGCTTTATGTGTAGCTCTCTGACATCTAGTGAGGCACATTAGGACCATGCTGACCTGTGACTAACAGTCACCTTTGTCCTCTAACTGCTACCTGCCACAAAGCCGCCTGTGTCCAACATGAAAGGTCTTGAAACATTATGGAAGAGAAGGTCCATTTCTTTTCCTAGATGGCATCACTGCACTGAGTCTGATGTGCTTTGTACAATCCACTAAAACGAAGCTTCTTTACATCTAAGTACCATGATTTTGAAGAATGTTTGGTACCGGTCCAAAATCACATTGGGAAGGTAAAACAAAAACTGCATGATGATTTTTGAAATTCTGTCATTATAACTGATATGATGTAGTCTTGTGGTTTTGACTTCAACTTTGCCAGTGAACACTGTGTGCCTTGCCTGTCTGCATGTAGAAGTTGGTAAGGGTGGGTTCTTCATGTCTGTGGAAAGGGGTGCAGAGGCATTCAGGTGATGTGCCCACACTTGTGTGCTCACGCTTGTCTGTCTCATCTCTCCTCTCTCTGATGTAACACCATTTTGGTATCTAACTTAGACTCAACAATATGGTTTCTATCGTATGTATTTAGTAATTTCTTTAAAAGTATATGTGACGCCAGGAAACATAATTTTTTTTCAGATGACTTTGTGACATATCTTTTACTTAAAAGATCATCCCTAATATAGCAAGATAATGGAGAGATTATTTTATAGTTGGTCAGAATATATTATGTTCTCTGTTCTGAAATCTAGCAACCTGATAACTTTGTTGCAAACTTAATGTAATAATTTTTTTCTGCCAGAACTGTAAACTGATCCCCTACACCCTATGTATCATTTTAGAGAGAGAGAGAGATTCAGATGATCTCATTTGCTTTGTTTAGCAAACCAGGCGATAATTCTGTTTATTTCATTTAGAATTGTGGACTAGAACCTGTACTGAAAAAGAAACCTGGTGATGATTGTTACAACAGTAATAGCACTGACGTTGAGTATTTACAAGTACCAGGCATTGCACTAAATATTCTGATGTCTAATTCACTTCCTCCTCATAAGCCTCCAGAGCAGTTCTCTTTATCAAACAAAAAGAGGGCAGGCGACAGTGTGAAGAGTCACCCGTTACTGGAATAGTGCTGAATTGAGTAGTGTGTGCTCTTTCATCTAGACTGTAATTGTAGTTAGTCTCCAAACCACAAAAACACGGTTGTAACAAGAGTGAGCTGGGTGCTTTTATGAGAGGATTTAAAAGAAAGAAAGACAAAAAGAGGCTAGATGGCCAGGTAATGGAAGGATGATGGTCACAGGCAGGTGTTGGGATGTTGTATGAGGTGACAGGAGGAGCAGGTACAGACTAGGGAGGCACAGCTTACAGTGTTGAAGACAGATTTGGTTCTTGAGAGGAGATGGAGTTCAGGAGAATAGAGAGTAAGATGTGCACCAGAGTTCAGCAGTGAAGAGAATCTTAGAGTCCAGAATATTCCTTTAGAAAAGAAATAGAAGACTCAAAAGGAGGCCCAGCCTAGCTTTCAGATCTGCTTTTGACAGTACACTGTGAAAAGAAAGCTTTCTGTTATACCAAATGACCTTATAATTAGTATTCCAGTAGAAGCCCAGAGACTGAACAGTCAAACAGGGCTCCATAAAGTACCACCTTTGTGGTTCCCTTAGACAGCAGAGGCAGGCAAGCATGAGTTCAGAACATTAGGAGCTAAAGATAATGCCATTATCTTTATCTTTATTGACACTTGTGAGTAGGTGGGGAAGGAGAGCAAGGAAGAGGAGCCCAGGTCTCTCTTTGGACTATTTACCAGGACTGAGAATACTTGGAAATCTCAAATTAAAATGTAACACTAATTAGGTAATGTTTTACATAGGTTGTTTCTGTCATAGTAATTGCAGTTTTCTTTGAGTGCCTTAATGATTACCATCAGTGGACTTGCTTTACAGTCTTGCTGGAATCTTTCTTCCTTGGGGATGTGAAATTGCCCTGCAAATGGAGATAATCAGTATTTAGTTCGATGAATCAAAAGTCCCCAAAAGTAATACAAAGTAGTATCCTAGCATGCTTTTTATAACATTATATCCTATACTGGTAGGTATTTGTTATGGGTGATTCATATGGACTCTTAATCACAGAACCTTTCTACATATGATCATTTTTGTTTCTTTTTTAAATACCAAAACAATCCAAACTGAAAAATAGTTACCAATTTAGAGGAAAGAGGCTTCATTTTTTTTTGTTCTACTTATTACTTATAATAAAAGGTATAATATAATCTTAAATCTTGAAACCATCACCCCCAAATACTATATTCATTATAATCTCTGGTGATTTTTAATTTTTATTTGACATTTGATCCAACCATTATAATTTTGGCATAGGTGTACAGTTGTAATAATCATGTTCACCAGTAGGAGGCACAGGTGTGCTCATTTGAAAGCAATGAGTTGTGTTGAAACAACTTGGAAATAAGGTTAACTTGACTATGCAGGGGAAGGAGATAGAAACATTTGTTTTTAAGGTATGGTCCAGTTTGAGATAGAACTTTGTCTTCAAGAAGCTTATAGTCTTAATGGATAGAGGTATGAATGATTAATAGTGAAAATGTCTAAATGGACATGTATGTGAAGTGCTAAGTTTTATGCAGATATTATGCTAAATAGTAGGAAGAGTGCTCATTGAAGAGGGTACTATGGTACTGAAGATTCATCTGTGACTTCTATTAGAAGCTGAATTTCTCTTGAACACTGGAGACTCTGTGGCCTAGAAAGGCAGAAAGAACATTCATGGATGAGGAAGTACAAAGAAGGGCCAACGTGGACCCAACAGTCACCTTGCAGACATCAATGTGGGAGCCGAAACAGCTTGTAGAGTAACACTCCGTACTTTAACTGTTGTCTGGAGGCCAGCTGTTAAAAATGTAATACTTTGTCTATTAATAGGTTGAGTCACCAAGCAAGTTGGCGTATCCATTGAGATTACAAATGATCATGTAGCTATGCTTAAGTTTTAGTTTGAAATCAGTCATTTTGAAACTTAAAACAAGTCCATTTTTCTGTTTATACTTAGCTTATATGCATAAAAATCTACATAGGAAGAAATGAAGGATATAGCTTTTCCATGAAACTAGGTGGCTCTGAGTTAACCACTAAAGAAAAAAGTAAATTCTCATTGGGTAATTTGGATCAGCCCATTTCAACAGAGAGAGCCCTTAGATTTGTTCAGAAAAAGAGAATTGCCGACTTTAAGACTGGATTTTATGGATATTTGATATCTGTTGGCTCTCTTGCGTTGGTTTCTGTAGCCCTCCTATACTATGAGAAAACTGCGAGCAATGTTGTACATTCATAGGCAGCTCAGGCTTCAGTAACATTTGTGGGACTTTAACTTCTTGAGCTGGAGGCTTGATTCACACCTACCTGCCGACAGTCTGTGCTGCAGTGACTCAGTATAGGGAAGGAGTAAAGCCAGCAGAGGTCATCACCCTGTGCAGCAAACATTCCGTTTATTTTAGTCAGTGCGCCTCTTCCAGGATGGAATTTCAGCCATCCTTCTCAGCAGCATGTGAAAGATGGCAAGGAAGACAGGCAGGCATATAAACAATTAAAATACTGAGGGCATTAAATACCATGCACTCTGACCTTTCATGGCACTTTTCTTAATTGCCGAGAGCCATTTATAAATATGCCAAGACCTTTCCGTTATGTTAAAAAATGTGATTGTACAATAGACCTTTGACATTTGCAAGAATATTTTCTGAGACCTATTCTGCTTCCGCACATTTGCAGAGCTCTTTGTAGATTGGCAGTTAGCTTTCTTTAGAGGTCATGTTGATTGTGATACGTAAGTGCAACACCACCTAAGAGGAGATTTCCGTGCTCATCAGTGGGGTGAGCACACAGGCCACTTAAGTGACTTGTGATTTTCACTTTGTGAGTGGTTCTTCTGTTTTCTTTGTTCATTTTGACTCCTGACTATAGCAAAACAAACAAAGAAAAAAACCTGAGCTTTTCATTGTGGATATAGATCCTGTCTTTATCTTTTTAATGAACCAGTTTATGACAGCCTTTATGAAAAAGGAGGGAAGGCATATATATGAAACAACCACCTAACATCAACAGATGCTGTCATGTTCCAGGCATAGGGTCATAGATGTTTTCCCTTACCTTGCCTGCGGAGTACAATCAGTTGTACTCCATCAGCTTTTTACAAATATAGTCACTTCAGGCCTAGACTGGCTGACTCTGTCTGGTGGTGCCATTGTGGGTTCATAGTCCCCAACCTACTGTCATACGTGCTACCTAATTCTCCCAATTGAGCCATGTGTTGTACCTCTACAGACAGGTTTCCTTCGGCAACTTGTCTGGGGTTGTGGGTGAGAAGAAAGATCGTAATTTGAAATTAGGCTTGTTTCATGCTAAAGCTCATGCACTCCTGCACTCCTAAGTGTAGTAAGTTAACAGTTGTTCTGCTACAAATACTACAAAACTTGTGCCTGTAGCAAGTCTCCAAGATTTCATGCTGAGATCCTTGGATGTATTATGAATTTTGTTAAAGCGTGAGAGAGTGTTAGTAGGGTTTTATAGTAACTTGTTTTGTCTAATTCCTTTATTTACCAACTACATCTCCATTTCTTTAAGGGTCAGTGAGCATCTGGAATGGAATAGTCTTACCTTAAAATATAACACCAATTTATGTCTAATACACTGTACAAATAGGTTCTTTTTGGAATTATTGCATTATTTATTCCAGGTACCTTAATTATCTTTGCAATTTGCTTTATATTTCTTCTAGAGTGTAAACAATTGCAATCAATCTCAAAATCATACTTGAAGTGCCTCTTCTTTCAAATCAGGACTCCATCTTTTGCCTTTGTTTAGCCATTAAGTCTCAGATATGCCTCATAACTTGATGTTTACAGTACAGGGTCTCTTTCTATAAAAAAAAAAAGGTC